ACAGCACTTTGTATTTGCAGGTCTAGACCAGACACGTCCCTCGCAGCATATCTGACAGCAATGACAATGATTAGCCACACACACACACAACAGACATGCAAGATTCCCTTTGAGAGAAAAACCGGCACATGACAATACATATTTCTTAAGACAATTAAGAATTACTGGACGAGTTTGAGCAAAATATCGTCATATGTCAGTGACGAGCAGATCAATCATTTGCCGAAGCCGAAGGCTAAGGCAAATAATTGATCTGCGAGACACTGACAAATCAAGATATTTTGCGATAACCGAGTTTAATAATTGTTTTATCATTCGGTCACCAAGTTTGTTTTTATATTTTCATTACTTCCTGGCAGCTCAGGGAAGCGTTCTGCCATTTTCTTCTCGAGAACGTTGTTCCAATTACGCATGAGCAGACCATCATTTGTAGGCAGTTATTTGCAGGTCACGTGGAAAGAAAAAATGCATCGAATGATAATAATGCTTACTAATGCATAGGTATGATAAATAATTCATGGTAAGAAATTGGAGAGCGCAATGCTGGTTGGTAACTTAATGCTGGGGAGTAACCCTGTGATTGACTAGCATTCCATCCAAAATCCAATCAATCCAAAATCCTTAAATCTAATTTGCACTCTCCGACAGTACATTTCTTCTCTACCCGGATCGAATTTCCGCAAAATTGCTCTACAACCACACTGACAAAGTGACGAGGCTTTTGTTTCTGTTTTAAAGTGCACATGAAACGAAATTTAACTTATCCATTTTTTAGCGTAATAATGTCGTATTTTTCCGTATTAGTTCATTTCCATTCGTTTTCCTTGTCTGCGTGAAGACCATGAACTCTTTTTAGCCCTTGAAAAATTCAGTCAGCGGTGCAAAATTTTAGACATTTTTCGCGCGGCCCAAAATCCATTGTGACGTCATTCGTGTGTTTGTCAGAAGAGAAAACATAGCGGACAAGGGAAGGAATCGAAAGGAAACGCGTTCCGGGAAAGTTTTGATACAACCCCTGGCGTTTCAGTGCATCTATTCCCCAAAGACGAGGCCTGGTTTTAAGCCCATAAACACATCTGTCCTTCGTTCAGTCCATTTCGCTCCAGAGTGTTTCACACGAAGTCTCGATCTAGCCGAGTCAAAGCATCATAATATATCTGGTAGTCGTCACTTGGAAAGGGGCTCCATTCCGACGATAGATGTATTGATAGAACAAGAAAAATCAGAAACAACAGATAGAGAGCGAAGAATGGTGAGTAAGCTTATAATCTTTTTTCTACATTCCACAATTACACATGTAAATTTCAGCGATAGTAGGCGAAATCTAATTCTTTTTAACGTATTTTATGCAGATTATGAGAAAGCTTACAAGTTCTGCGCATTGTTGCTCAGCCGCTGTTGCTTCTCCGGTTATTGCTCAGTCACCTAAAAGTCCAGAATGGTCAGTAGAAATGCCCAAACCAGAGCCAACATGTACCGCAGTTGGAAATGACGATGAACTGCATGAGCTTGTCATGGAAACTCCCATCAGCGCACCATGGTCTCCGAGTTCTGCATCCAGCGAAAAGTGCTCGAAAATTCGAAAAGTGTTAGGCGTTTGCAAAAAGAGAACTCTTACCTTAGGAAAAGGAACCGAGAGCTAAAAGAACGAGTGAAAAATGTAAACACTTTTTCCGACCTCATCCAGCAATCAATATTTATGGCACGAATTCGAAACCACTATAAATGTTATTTCATTTGACTTTTCTAATCCTATATTCTGGACGTCTTTTTATTAGTGTGTGACAACCTGGTTAGTGTTGTTGTAGCTTTTTGTATGAGGTCGCTTCGTTTTTATAAATATCCCTCCGTTTATTTCACTTTCTGAGCGTAGATAAGACATGTACATGAAGATGAGTCGGATGAGAGCTCTGACAGTTCAGAGGATGAAGAAGGAATCACTGCTAATCAGTTGTTATTTCAAGTAAACATTTCTTACCCAACTATTCAACTTAATAGCAATTATCTCTTCAACTGGTTTAATTAAAATGTTGCGGTAAGATTCATTCTCACCCTGCCCAAATTGCCTGAAGACTTAAAATATTTACTTAGTCTCCTGTGGCTTGTGCATTTTTGCTTTGTTCTTGTTTTCTTAGAGGCATAACAAAGCTCAATGCAATCAGCCCATACCATCCAAAAATCAACTGAACCCCCTGCAAAGAGGAAGGAGAACCCTGTGCCTGCATAGAAAGCGAACACTTAAATTTGATTCTTTGTATACTTTTTGGGAATATAAGATTATTTCAAAAAGTTTAGGCCAAGACTGTGTAGTCATGCCTTCATTGTACAGTTCTGTCAAACACAATAGAAGGCTGTTCTTCAGACTGAGCTGTGTGTTTAGTGACCTGGTGTTACAGAGATGACTTAGCTATATTTACTACTTTTCAAATGTACAGTGGGTGTGATTTGTAAAGTAGCTAAATGTATATCAAAACAAAGTCAACTTTTCATCAAAGTACTGGTTTCTAAACATACAGCTCAAGATGCTAGTATGTAGTAGACTAGTAACTGTAGTCAGGGGTCAATGACATACTTGATAAAAAATCCTCTTTTTTTTTCTTTGGGCAAAATATACAACTCAGTGGCAAAGTAAGGAATTTTTATCAACTATAATAGTATGGTTTTTTACTTTTTCTGAACCTTTCATGCCTTAGGGAGAATCAGGGATTACCACCACATGCCCATTTTTCAAGTTTGATAATTGTTATAATGACAGGTCTGTGGTCCAATTTTTGTTTGAAGTCGTATTTAGTACTGAACGTGACTTTCACATTTTTCATACTTAATACATGTATAAAGTTCTCTAGATCACTACAAGCTGCCTCAAAAGGCTGGTTCATCTAGTTCCTATCCTCTGATGTTACATAACCAGTTGTGGCATGTGTGAAATATCTAGTTCTTATATTATGACTGAAGATCCAGCGTGTAAGCCACCTGTATGCCGTAGCTCTGAGAAACCTGCAGTAAATTAGAAGAGTTTAACATGTTTAAGATAGAAAAGGATTTGAGCTTATTCCTCCAGAGTAATGACAGTTTTCCCATCCTTTCGTCGATAACCTCTACCATTTCTGACCTTCAGTAGTGACGCATGATATGCGTTCAATGCTACCATCAAACGTGAGTGAACGGGCACAACCAACTTCTGATCTACAGCATCTGAATTCACGCGCCGATACAAGTGTTGTATCACTGCATATTTTACAAGTGCACCTTCAATTTAAAAAGGCCAGTTTGAGTAATAAATTGAGATTCCAATAGCACAGAGTAAATGGTTAGCCTGCCCATAGTTAATGGAGGGAATGGTTATGAAACTCGTCAAAGTTCTTTGTTGTATGTTATTGTTCTGTTTTTTGGCCTTGACCCTGCACAAAACACAATAGTTGTTTACCCCGTACAGAGGAACTAACCAATAGAAGCGTGTTGGTTACGTAACTCATGCATAGTGTGAGCGTGAGATTGTGCAGAGTTGTGGACCTTCCAACATAAATCTTGGCATCTTTGTTTGCTCTTCTGATGTTTGCCGGGCTTCCTAACCAGGTCCCGTCTATTAACTATGGCCTGCCATATATAATCTTTTTACAAGAATAAGGTTCAATCATGTGCATGGTTTCAGGTCGCTCTGAGCTATAAATTTTCTGCTACACTCAGAATCATTCATGACAAAACACAACAGGATTTTCACGTACCAAGCACTGACAGGCACAGTTTTATCAATTCGTTGTTCTAAAGTAGCAACACTCAATCCGTCTTCGTCGACTTCCTCTTCCTCAAGGCCTCCGCCATTTTCATCGGAACTCGCGGAAGGTTCACATTCGTACGGAGCTATATGGCCTATATCTGACCCGATCTCTTCCTCAGAACTTTGTATCGAGTCTAAATTGTCTTCAGCTGAACTTTAGGTAAAGTCTTCGCCGCTTAAAGCCATGGTTTCGTGCAAGGTTTAAGTGTAAATGACTTGCATTGGAGTCGTTCTCGCTTGGCTGCATACACACGAATTACGTCACGATCCTTTAACTAGAGCCCAGGTCCTTGACTACAATTTTATGGAAAATGGGGCATCTTTAAGCGTCTGAAAAAGTATGTTGCCACCACTTTTGGCACTCTATTTCCCCCTTAAAATAGTTCTAAAGGATCCTATTTTAGGTTAAATTGAAAAAAATGGAGGTGAAATTTTCATGTGCACTTTAAGCAGTGGCACTGATGCCCACCAACCTTTAAAAAATTGGAGAAGTTACTATAAACCAGCGAATTTACAGAATCAGTAACAATTTAATTGGTTTTGTTGTTTGCATGTGGAAAAAAAAAACGAGGAAGTATTCTTATTATAGAAACTTTCCTTAGTTTACTGAATGACTCCACTTTGATAGGATCCGAACCAAGGTAAATTCAGGTCCTGCAGACACGCATGTTTACTTCGCGAGAGTCTGCGCTTGATTGTAAGTAACTGCGATCCATCTCTTTAAGGAATCTGAGCTAAACTGACGTCACTTTGTTAAATTACCTGCTTATTTATGTCATAAACATTTCCTCCGCAGCAAGCCTGATAGCGAGGGTTATATGACTCTCTTCCACAGCACTGAGACGGCTTTTGAACAACTTTTCCAGAACAGCAAACGTGAGAGGAAGGGGTGTAAGAGTAGTGTCTGCAGGAATAAATCAAAACCTATGGCTTATGCAATTTTTAACAGTTGCTGAAATTAGATAATGAGGAAGTTGGCGGGCGTTATTTGAAAAGCTTGGTTCTTATAGTAGAAACTCCTTCTCTTTGTTCGCGCTTTTCCCTTCTCCTACCACTTACCCGTACAGGCGAGACATGTACGAATTACACTTACCCACAGCATTTGTATTCGACTGTGCCACATTGCATACAGTAAGCTTGAACAACTGTGGGAGAAGATATAAATGTAAGATGTAAGGCAAATCATTTCATGAAATGAATGCGATCGTGAAAAACAAACTTTTTTTCAGGGAATTAAAAAATCCAGTGCATCCATGACAGCACGCAAGATCATCTTTTTAAAAACCTGCTCCATGATTCGACTTCATAACCGAACATTCCTCCTCAAATTAATTATATTTCAATAAAAAGTCGTTTACGAACCCCATATGCAAACAATTATATAAAGCCATTGTTTCTAAGGGAGATCATATTACCCCGGTCCTCTACTTACAAAACTTGGCCTGGAGAGATTCGGTGTATATTCCTGTATTCTAAAGATTTATATGCTTGATTTTGTACCGACATTGTGACGAGAAATGAAATTGCTAATTAACAATTAGATTATGAGCTCAAGATTTCTATGAGGTGATAGTTGATGAGGCCGAAGGCCGAATCAACTATCGCCTCATAGAAATCGATAGCGAATAATCTAATTGTTTTCGTAGAATTCTAATTGAAATTAACGCAAATAACGGTTTCCAATGATTTTCCCACACATTATTGAACTTTACGCTTAAACAAAGTTGACGTATCGAACTGTCCTTGGCATTTTCAATATTTTCAAGATTTTTAAGTCAAGAAACAGTAAATGTGCTTCTTTTAGTCTTCTCAGGAATTTAATTAACCGTTAAAATCTAAAATTCCTTCCAAAACTTCGGAAAAACTATAAAAACATCGCATTTCGTGGACGACCGGCAGCCCCTGCACTCTAATGGCTGATAGTATATCAGTAGCTAAGCCAATCAGATTGCAGCATTTGCATTAGTATACTAGTAGAATTCTACTAATCATCGTTAGATTGTGAAATATGAAATATTCAACATGACACGAGCGTGGGACAAAGAAAAATCTGAGTCCCCGACAGGAATCGAAACCATGACCTCCCGAACACCAGGCGGGCACTCTATCCGCTGAGCTACGAGAACTCACAGAGAGCAAGGTCATTTTACTGAGTTCATATGTGACAGGTGTCCTGCATACTGCTAGGATCAGCACTGCCTTGCTCTCCATGAGTTCTCGTAGCTCAGCCGATAGAGCGCCCGCCCGGTGTTCGGGAGGTCATGGGTTCGATTCCTGTCGATTTTTCTTTGTCCCAAGCTCGTGTAATGTTGAATATTTCATATTTCATAGTTAATTATCGAGCTCAAAATTCACCATCTTCATTCACTTATCATCGTTAGATTGTATAGAAACGTGTTCCACTTACCCAACATAAGAAGCACGGCCGCAGCAAGGATACGAGAGAACAAAGCCATAGTGATTGCTTGTGAAGTCCAAATTCTAAAAGCAAAAGAAAACACTGAAGAGCACCATAGATTGTTAAAGAAGCAAAAATTATAATAGAATATCCCAATGGTATCACAATGATAAGAATGTTTCAAACTAAATTACTCTTTACTGATAGCTAAATTATACCTATGGGACTGCAGAAGGACAAACATGCTATCAGAAATAATTGGCTTAAAGCATAAGGTTAGAACTAAGTTTGAAATTGAAAAATACGTTAATGTTAAGAACAATACCTTAGATAAATTTAAACGAAAATGGGCAATTAATGGTAATTTGTTGCTTAATAGATAATATCATTTCTTTCTTGTAGGAATCATATTGTGTTATGGTTTAGGAAGTGACTGTAATGTGAATAGTTGGAGTGTAATGTAATAATAGGTTGACAACGTTTGTGCGCAATGTATCTTTTTTGTATAATATCTATGCGCATTGGTAGTATTTAATTAAGGTATGTATTGTGTCTGTTAATAGTAATTTGGTCGTTTAATTAACCAATTAGTTAATAATTAATGATTTAATGTTAGTTAGTAATTTAAACATTGTATGTATTGTTTGTGTTTTAACAATAAATGTTTTTGCAAAAAAAAAAAAAAAGAATGTTTCAAACGTACTTAGGTTCGTATAACAGTTCTCCAAGATATGATTATACATATCTCAGTTTAGTTTGAACTAATTTATGTATTGAGGTATAGAACGTCAGGAACACAGTCCATTTACTGTATTGTTAATTCTCCCGTTTTATCAAGGCGTGTCAAGCCCAGAATGAGCCTACTGATTGCCTATTAATACAATTCAAAGCTTTACACATACAGATTTTCATGCCAAGTTCCTTAGCTCTCGGATATAAAAAGGGGTGTCATGTTCATCTCAAATTTTCCAATTACAGTAGAGAAAAGGTAAATCGCGCTGGTTGGTTTACTACTCTCCCTAAACGCGTGGAACAGGCCATAACATCGCCCCAATTTGTCCTTTCTCGCGAAAGGCTGCATTTGCTTCACGCCAAGCGACAGAGTCGTTGCTATAAGAGTAAACAAAGTCTGATCTGGTTTTCTCCCCGCAATGTACAAGAGCGTGTTCTTAACGGCATACTTGTGAAGGATTTTTGAAAGTATTCCTCCGCTATTGCGGCTCACACTAATCCATCTTTCGAAGGGTTGACTTCGAATCTAGCTAATGGCTACTCTCCACGTGAAACTTTATCTTGAGAGACCAGCACAATGTCTTCTACATGTGGGTGGTTCATCCTGGTTCCACTTGTTTCTCACGGTTAACCGATGCAAGTAGTCTTGTTTAGTTAAAGCTTTTCAAGTTCTGGTTGAACAATTTCCGCAGGCGACGATATCTCTCCAGTGGTTAATGGCATCGAGCTGAACTCACTTCTATTTCGACCGATAGTGTTCAGCTCGGTGAACAAAACGTTTCCATCAGCCGCCTCTCCAAAGCGAACATTTAGTGATAAATTTCGACTTGACGAGATTTAACAACAGTTCGATGTGGGCTTGATCCAGTGTATACCATACTGAGAGGCTTTATGTATTGAGTTGGTCATACAACGTTGTTTTTTTTGTTTGCTGTCTTAAAATTCTGTTCATTCTGTCCATAGTCGACTGCGACTTTTCATGCGGTCAAAGGTTTGTAGGAACTCTTCTGTATACCCTTCATCACGAGCCCTGAGTTATTTGTCAATTTTTCAGTTGTAGGTTTAATGTAGCTGTCATCAAATCTCTTTGACCCCGGACATCGCCATTTGAATTTTTAAAGAGGTGTTTTCTGTGTCAGCTTCTGTGTCTTCTTTCAGACAGTCGTCGAAATACATGTTATGTAGAACTTACTCCACAGAATTAGGAAATGAGGGAATGTCTCTGAGTATAACATCATCATCTGGTCCTCTTTATCCCATAGGTTGGGTGACAAAGGGCCTCGGCCTCTGAACAGTTTCTTGCCACCTCTGTCGGTCTTGAGCCGCTCTTTAGGCGTTGCACCAATTGAAGGTCGCCTCCATCATATCTTTCTGAATGCTTCTGCGCGTTGTAATTTTCGGTCTGCCACGTTTCCGAGTGTTTTTTGAGTTCCAGTATATCGCGTGGCGCGTTATGTTCCGCCTTAGCGTATGACCAATCCACTTCCAGAGTCTTCTGTTGATAGGCTCTAGATCAATTCTTTTCCTTGGACATCTCTGGCCAATATGCTCTCGGAATTCCCCTTAGATACTTGCTGATGAAATTGTTTACTTTCTGTTTTTGATATTGCCACTCTCCATTTCCCTGAAAAGTGCATGGGGGAGCAGGGATGGCGCAGTGGTGAGAGCGCTCGCCTCCCACCACTGTGGCCCGGGTTCGATTCCCGGACCCGGCGCCATATGTGGGTTGAGTTTGTTGTTGGTTCTCTTCCCTGCTCCGAGGGTTTTTCTCCGGGTTCTCCGGTTTTCCTCCCTCCACAAAAACCAACACTCCAAATTCCAATTCGATCCGGAAATGAGGGCCACGGGTTTGTCAGCTTTGCTGCTAAGTGCTACCCGCACTAAATAACGTTGAATAACGTTGATTATTGGAACTGTCTATGCAATGGTTAATCTCTTCCTTAGTGATGTTGCCGATGCTAATTGGCAGATCCGCAGGAGTGTGCCGTTTAGATGTTGTTGATGTAAAGTGATCGCTCGATCTTTCAAGTTTCAGTTATGTTAGCAGGCTTCCAAGATTGTTTCCAATTGGGCGGTGATAGTTCTTGTATGACCACTAAGTTTGCGTGTGATTTTATAGACTGTCTTTATGTCCTCTTTTCCGGCCGCTTCCTCTGCATCTCCAGCCAAGTTTTTTTTTAAGTGAGTTCGTTTGTTTTTCGCAACTCCTTTTCACTTCCCTGTCTTTCTTAAAGTACTCTCTCTGTCCTTGTCTCTTTTGCTGCCTGCTCACTACTAAGTTTTCTCATCTTTCGTCTTTTTGCTTCCAGTTTGTTATCCAGTTCTTTTTCAAGTTTGGGAACAAGCTTTTGCCAAGACAGGGATACAATAATCTTCTACCATGGTACCACAAAACAAACTAAGCATAATACAATTTAATTTTTAATTTATAATCATTAATTCTGCTATCTTGCTGCACTTGATATAAAAGTTTTATTTAAATGTATCGAAAAATATCGATTATAATAACCTGCGGTCATTAAAAAAAACAACTAATGTGCTGAAAATACACATAAGAATTCAAACGTACTTTTGGATTTTTACCTTCCTACGGATGTCAACAATTGTGATCGGGTATTTGCAAGGGCTGGTGACTTTTTTCAACGTTCCTCATGGAAAAAGCTCGGCTTATTCATTAATCTTGGCTAAGATATCTAGAACGCTTACCTTTATTGTGATTCAAGGCTTGTTTGATTCTCTGTGGGCGAAAACGTTGAAATGATACAACTGCGAAATAGAAATAGAAATCTTTGTTTAGAATTTATGGTAAGAGATAACTATATCTGAGAAGGATTCAGCGCAGTTTCTTTTTTTCTTGCCCAGTGGACAGATTGAGTCATGAGTTATTAAACCATAAACAACTTCTTTTGTCTTCATCGGCGATGGACCAAGACCACATCGCGGTTTCAATTTGAAAGTATCGTGATTATAACAAAACGATTGAAGATGCAAAACTACTGTTTAAACCAGAACTGCAAATTAACGCATAAACTTCTCTGATACGTACTTGTCGCTGATCAAAACGTAATAGAAAATATCGCTGTACGTTATCCAAAGCCTTGTTTTGCATGTAGTGAACAAGAACAGAACAAGTTTCTAAAACAAAAGACATTAAATTCTAATTTTTATTCTAACAAGCAACCCAATTCTAACAAGCAACGCTATTTGCTAGAGCAGTTTGTTTAATCGTGGATCTGTCCAATGAAATGAATTGTTCCATTCTTGTCTAGATTGCCACGCTTTGCTTTCTCGAGTAAAATGACAGCACTCTGATCCCACTGAAAAATAAAATGTCGGTCTCCCTTTTGCTGCAAAAAAAAAAAACTAGTTAATTATCATGAGTTTGGGCTAAAATATTGTGGTGCAGAAATAGGGTATACCAATGATTGTGGTAAAAAATTACAATTTTAATGCTTTTAGATACAATTATCCTTAAGTCATTTTATAGTAAAACACAAAAGGTGGATTTAATTGATAATAAATAATTTTGTGAGTTTTCTTCGTTTTAATCTCAAAGAGACAATGAGCCTTCAAGTGAGAATATTTCTTGGATTATGCATACTTTTGTATAATATTTATACCGTCATTACTGAAGGTGAATTTTGAAACATGTCTGAGAACCAAGTAAAGGGTAATATACATTAATACTGATTAGCAAGCACGAGAAACCCTTTTTTTTCGTTTTTCCCTTGCGTTTTAATTTTGACAACAAGCCGTAAGATCTAATGCCTGTGTACGCATCATAAAGCTCATTTAGATGTTTCCACTCTATTATTATAACTAGTATAAACATTTCATTTGATTGTGAATAATTATTTAAATTCTATGAGTGAGCCCGTGGCTGAATGGATCGTAAACAGTCCGCGTTTGTCGCATGGTTTGTGGAAAGTATAGACTATACGATATGAAAAGAGGATCAGTTTTTAAACTGCCATCAAGAATGCCTTAAAGTGCCCATAACCTAAAAAGTTTTCTTTTCTTATCTGAAAGTACACATTTAAAGAGGAACTTCTGCGAAAAAAGTCGTTTGTCTGCGCGTCCTTTTTTTATTGGCATCACGACTATATAATTTTATTTTTGTATTATAGTCCGTTAAACACCACTGATAAAGTTATTTCTTTTCATACGTGGCGGTTTATCAGCATTTATTATCTTTGCTGTCACAAAGTGATTAACATTTGAGATTAGAGCAAACAGACCATGAATAAAGTGTTTGTTTAGTCATTAAATTCGATGAAATTATACACTAAAGTGTGTCGTCAAGAACTGATTATCACCAACTTAAAT